TCAATTTTATCGATATTGAATATTTTATTAGACCATTTAGAGTTATACTCCTTTCTGTCGGTGTAATTACCCCTTTTCTTTTGAAACACTTTTACCTTGTCGTTCTCCACTATTCTGGGATACTTTCTTTTGTTTTTTTCTCGTAGTTTAAGATTGACCTTTACATTTATTTCATTCTCGTCCTTGTGTGCTTCAGACGGTGTCATCCTTGTTGATGAGTGAGATGTGCTGTTATACTGTTTCAATGCCGGCGTTAGGGCGTCGGTCCATTTCATGTTGTTAAACCTAACTCTATCGGGAATTTTGTTTTTCATCGTTCTAATAAAACGCTCGGCCACATTTGCGTGGGTCTTCGTAACGATGTGGTTTATTCCTTCACTGTTGAAGAAATCCTGAACGTGATTTTTAGTTGCAAACGCTCCGTCGTCATCAGAATACACGGACATCGGATAACCCATCTTTTTAAAGCTTGCTCTCAACGCCTTCAAAACGTTCTCTCCGTCTCTTTCCTCCATCGGTATTACATCTGCTAATTTACTGAAGATGTCAATCACGACTAAAGCATACTGTGGAACGTTCTTGTCTTTTGCTAAAGGAGACATATGCATTATGTCTATTTGATATTCATATCGTGCGAATGGAGCGGTATAGGAATTAGTTCCTCTATAATTTTTGATTTGTTTATTTGGCTGTTTCTTTAAGAAAGACTTTACATCGTCTAATGTTATTGTTGGGTCTTCTTCCTTTGCCTTCTTGTGTGTCGCTTGTGTGCTTCCGAAACCCTCGTCTAAGTCGTAATAGATGTTGCTGATTATTTGGTCTTTTGTTAATCTCGCCATTATATTAAATTGTTAGAAAATATTTTTTCAATAAAAACCCCGCCCCTTAACATAAAATAAAAAACTACTTAAAGAAATATTAACTTATTATATTAAGTGAAAATATGACTGAAAATGTCGGAGTGATTGCTGACTTATCAAACTGGGTGCTATCAGACGAAGAAGATGATGATAATGACAGTTATAAAAAGGAATTAGATGACGAGTTAAACAAAATAAAGGATTTCGTCAAAAGACACCCTTTGCCATCAGTTGATGAAAACGAAGAATTCTGGAAAGATGTTATTAACAGGTTTAGGGATAATAGCGGATTAAACTTGATGACAATATACTCATTTGTTAGGTTTGACATCATGAAAGAAATGTATGAAAACCTAACAGATGAAAACATCATAAAAGACTGTGGTAAAAAGTTAAACCGAGATGGGCAGTTTAATGCTATGATTATTAACCACTATATCTTATCGGGAGCGATACGGAAACTAAACACAGAAGACAGTCTAGTAGATGGACAGATGCGAATTATTGAATTCTGGTGGGATGGAATAGGTGGATGGAAAGCGTGAGTGATTTAGTTTAATGATATTATTCAATTATAATATGATTAAACCTAGTTTTTATAATCTAACAATGAGGTTAAGACATTTAAATTAAACCTGAAACCCAGACCAGCCGACCAGCAACCCCTAGCCAAAACTACTTAAAGAGAAAAAGCCTTATATATTAAGAGAAAAATGAGTAAGGGTAAAATGTCAGAGAATAATTTTATGGTTGAGAATTGCGCTAGCTTACCTGAAGGCTTAGTTTCAATCATCACTACTTACATTAATGGTAGTGAAGGGTGGCGAAGACTGAAACAATGTGATGCTTTAAGAGAATTACAAAGGAAATGGAAACCGTCTATTTACACTGAACGAGTAGGAGAAAGTAGATATTATGTTGAGATTCGCAATAAATGCTTAAAAGGTGATAAAGCGCTTTCATATGCGTTGAAACCACCAAAAGAATTATTAAGAATGATGAAGTATGATGAAGAAATACAGGTTGGAATAGTAGTTAGTTCAAAAATTATGTATAATAATAATATTTGCAACAGTCGTTCTTATTCATCATCTAAACAGAATAAGATTTCAAGTAGAGCGTCATTACAATACCATATTGAACAAGCAGTTGAAGAAACCAAACAGACTATGAAACGACACGAAATCATTACTATCGAACATGTTGCAATTGAAATTTATAGAAAACAGAAACAATGATTTCATGGCTTAATCATAATATTTAATTATAATATGATTAAACAGTGTAAACTTTTATAACCTTTCATTATACTGTAATTTCAACCTATAAAACATAACTAGACAATCACATAAAAATCACATAAAAAGAAGTTGTTAAGATATATTAAGAAATGGTTGTGAAGCAAACTATAATGAATAATTATGGAATGACAGAAGAAAAAGCAACAGAAGACTATGGTGAATTCTTCAAATGCAACAGATGTCTTTATGATAAAACAATTGATGAATTTGGAAATGTAAAAAGTGGAAGAAGATATAAATATTGTCAAGAGTGTAGAACAAAAATAAATAATTGTAGAGATAAACGTCAAAGAAACAAACGACCCACCAACACCCCAGAACTTGATAACTACTAAAAGGGCTACCTCTTTCAAATGAAAAAAATGTTTGCCCCCAGCCCAACAATGAACAAGGCGACAATTTACCCAAATGATTACCTTAACGAAAACGATAAATAAGCTCCCTAAAAACCCTCTTTTCAAAACGAATAAGGGGGAACACAGATTTGAGATGAACATAAAAACCATAACAGGCAACCATCAACAGACCACCCCCCAGGCCCCCTACTTTCTCCATTTTTTCCCCCCCCCCCCAACCCCCTACCCTATTCAGGGTTGGGGCAATTGGGCCAACCTCCTTTTGAAACAATGATTGAACACCTATTGTTTAGCAACCTCCGTGTGGTTTTCCCTCGCTACCTGGGCAGCCGCGAGGGCGCCCCATCCACCGGAATCTCCGGCTCTCCCAGCAAAGGCATTTGGTCGGCGCCCTGAACGCCTGCGAGCTCCTTCACATGGCCAAAGGCCTGCACTCGGCCGCAGGCCTGAGAAAGGTGCACGCGTCTGATTCTGGGATATGACATGCTACAGACAGGGAGCACGAGGGCTTTTGTAAAGCGGTGTAGGATTTCTTCCGTCAACAGTATGGCCATGGAAAGGTGAAATGTGAGTTGTTGCTTTTTGGCTTGGGGCGCTTTACCCAAAAGCACATGCGTGATCATCTGTCACACGGGACAGAAGACCCCGAAGCTCAAAATACAAATCGCCATGTGGCCCGCATGGGCTGCAGAAGCTGGTCTTTCTGAATTCCAAGGAGCCTAAATGAGCTTGGGACAAAGAAGTCAGACGGTCACGAAAACGCGAGCGTTAGAAATGTCTGACGGATGGCAGCGGCCACGGGCCACACGCACACGCACACGCACACGCACACGCACACGCACACGCACACGCACACGCACACGCACACTCACCCCACACCCACACTCACACGCACACCCACACACACACACACACACACACATGAAATCACAATTATTGTGTTCACATGATGTGTTCAACTTTAACTTCCAGATAGATTGCATTTGCCCAGCACCATCACCAAGACTTGTTGAGGTGCTGCTCTTGCCAACGGAGTCTTCGCTTCGGAAAAATGCCGAGGCGCTGGGAAATACTGAAGCCCGAGTGCCGTCCCATCGTCCCCCGTCGTCGGCTGCTGTGCGGCGGCCGCCCTCAGGGGAGAGACCCGACGCAGCGTGCTGCGCCACGCCCGCGCAGCGGCGGCGGGAAGCCGTAGGAGCACGGCCATTCTACGAGTGCGGGCCATGAACGGCTGAAGTGAAATTGGGGAAAACCTAGGGCACCCCCTTCTCCATGTCTTTCAGGAAGGGTTCTTAGAAGTTAAAACCGAATGGGTTCTTATATAGAGGGCTTTCTGGTGGGTGGGGCCTCGGATGTAATTCCATGCTGACCCCGAAGCCCATTCTGAGAGCGGTGCCAGTTTTCCGCGGATGATCCCTTCCGCAGATTTCACGGGAATTACCGATGAATTGTCTGCTGGTTCTGGGCTTGAGCACACAGTTTCTGCAGCTAGGGCACGCTACTGCCCAGCCTCGAGCCAGCGCACACTGCTACCTGCTAAGCCTGGAGTTGCTGTGAAAACTGGAAAACATGATTTAGGCTGTTTACAATTTGTCAAGTTTGATCCATCATTGGATTCTCGCATGTTTATTCACCATTAAAAATGCAATATTGTATGGAATACACCCTGGATTTAGCCTATCTTACTCAGAGTTCCATGTATTTTGAACAAAGTACATGTCATGTACAACTTAAAACACTTGCGTTGTGTTGTTTTACGCATGTCCTGTGGTCGAATTTCTGGGTTTAGTTCAAGCTCGCGTGTCGGGGTATGACTATGATGTTGAAGTCTGTTTCAAGATGCAACTTATATGTTCCATTTCATGATGTTAATCATGTTGGCTATCATAACGGTTAGGTTTATCATTGCAGTGTTCGCGTGTTGTCATGCCATTTGTTTGTCATGGGGAGCGCATGCAAACTCCCTCGACCCAGCAATCACTGAAGACCATTGCTTGCAGCTTGAGGGCAAACTCAACGCGAGTTACCACTCACTTCCATAGCTGATGAGGAGCCACCTAGGCTTGTCGTTGAAAGTGTTAGGATTTGAAAATACATTTGTTCAGCGGTCACAAATGTTGGGGGCATGGTAGGATCATTTCTTTGGCGTTCCTGCCGGTTGGTGCGGAGATATATGGAGTTTGTCCGAAGCGTTTACTCATTTCCAAGATGGAGTTCGAGTTGCTCATGTTCGATTTGTGACTAGCCGACGGCTTTCAAGGTTTGTGTGTTTGCAGCAGCACAGAAGAAGAACGAATGATAGCCCAAATGAAAACTACAATGCTAATTTACGACAAACCAAATCGTTCCGGCAACAAACATGGTGAAGCACATGAAATTAAATCGTATAAAAAGAAAAAAACATTGTTTACTACCCTCAGTCTGGAGCTCTAATAATCTCAGAAGCCTGGAGGACAATACTCATCAGACGTCGAGGCTTGCGCCGTCTCATTCTGCAGACCATCTCGTGGTGACACGTCGGTGACCTGCGAGTCGCTTGCATTCCAGCTTCGTGCTTTTCTGCATTTGGGTGTGTCTGTTTTGGGGGCACCCCCCAGAATGATGCGTTTTCCTGTTTGATATTGATCCCATGCGAGACCACCAGAAAAGGGGACCCTCACGAAAAGACACGCCCATCTCAGCTGACCGGCTTACAGAACAATGTGATTGTCGAGAATTAGGGGGCCCGCAAAAATTGTGGTTATCCTTTTGGTTTCCCGTTGCATTCAACACAAAGTCAAAGTGGGTACCCTCAAAAAGAAAAAGAAAAAAAACAGAAGAACAAAAAAACAGAAGAAACACAAAAGTGACATGTGGCGCCCCCGGCTTGGAAGTTGTTCGGCCCTGCCATCCTTGGAACTATCTCGGCTAAGGGTCCCATCGATGAAACTTGCCTCAGGACCAAGTGGGTGTCGTCTGTCCTGTTCCTTTCTTGAACTGCAAAGGCAAGGGAAAAGCAATGGTGACAGTCGCGGGACACTTCCCGAGGGGCTTCCGAATACCCAGCCAACAAGGCTGGCAATATCATGGTTGACATCCGCATTTGACTTCCCGACATCCCAAGAAGCATCTGGAACCCTGCCTGCACTGTGGACACCGGCCGCCGCGCAAGGACCTGGCAGGACACCAATGTGCTCTCGTGCCTGGGGAATCGAAGCGAATCAACTGGGCAAGGAATGCCATTCACTTTTGGGGGTTGGTTTGCTCTTGTTAAGGGAACACTGAAGTTGCGGCCCCGCCTTGGCTAGACGCGGCGCACGGCGCCATGCCAGCATGGGGAAGATGTGAGATGCACGGGGTGATGAGTTGCATTCGCTGGCCAGTCGGCCGCTCAGGTGAAAATTGTCCAGTCGAATTCTTGGGCCCCTCATGGAATGGCAGCTCTTGAGGCGCTGTATTAAACCAGAATCAACAACAAATGTACGCAGCTCCTTCGTGTCGCCTCCAGTTATCCAAGCTGCTGCCTGACTCCATTGCTTGAGCCGCTGACGTGGGCCAACTTTCAGTCCTGTAACACAATCCAGCAACGCACAAGGACTCCCCATCTCAAAACAACACGGCTGGGCACCTAATTCTCTGAATCGGACCGGCAATCGGACAAACCAGCTGCAATGATGCTGCGCAACCCCATGCCGTTCAGTCACGCAATGCCGGAGCCGTTCGAAGCTCCAGTGAAGTCCCCAGCCTTTGCGCTGCTCCACCAGCCCGAACTCCAGCCGGAGTCCCACCTTGCAAGGCGCTTCACTTCGAGCGGCTGCAGAAACCCCGCGCCGTCCATGCCTGAAAGACCTGCGGCTAGCCGGCTGGATCTTTATGAGGGTCACCGCAGGCTTGAAAGAAGCGGAAGCAGCGGATACCATATCAGCGCCAGGAATATCACCAGCCAGGGAGTCATAGCTTGAGAAGATCATTTACGGACACTCTACACTCTTGCTGCTTACCCACAAAAAAGAAGAAGAACAAAAAACACACAAATCGAAATTCTGCCAGCGGGAAAACCAATTGAAGAAGCGCCGCTTGCTCACACTTTTGTGTTCGACTGACTTCAAGGCATGCTTCCAGACTCGAAGGTTTTGGAGTCCTTGAGAATGCTTGTGCCTGAAAAAAAGGGTCCTCCGCTGGAAACGCGCGTTGCCAAATGCCTATCTGGTCCTAAAGCTGTGCAAACACACATTTCATGCTACAGTGCCTTCTGGCACAGTAACCGCACAAATGAGGCACTTGACTCAGAAAAACGTGACGTCCCACAGCGGAACTCAAGCAAAGCCACCAAGCACGGCTTTGACATGTTCCGAGTGGCTTTTGCTCACAGGTTGTCTTGCGAAAGATTTCACCCCCCAAATCCATAAGCACAGCAACAAAGAGTGGTTTGACAATTACCGAGTTGAACACTTCACTTGGCGTAATTTTGTCCAACCACGTCGCGCCAGGGTTGGCGGCACTGGGTGGTAGTTCTTGTGTAAGATTCATCCAAGCTTGGGAATGCTTCCTGGTCGGCCATCGCGTTCACCCAACATTTCCGTGGATGCTTCAGCGCCTTTATGCTGACAGTTCCCTCCAGTTCTCCACAACCTCATTGGCCAGTGACTTGAAACCACGAAGGCTTGGACATGACTTCCTCTTGCACAGAGCCAAGTGGATTTCGGGTGGAAAAGCATGGGGGCGCACAGGGTCCGAAATCCCCGTCCGAGACCCGCTGCGGTCTCCAACTGGATCCTGCCGCGCTCACGGAAGCCACGACTCGAGCCGTGAGTGGGGACAACTGCGAGCAACGCATTTCATGGAACAAGCCACCTAAAAGTGCTGTCCCACCCTTCGTTCAGCGCACTGTTGCAGTTCTCTGCGCGCCTCTCCAATCTTCCGAGGTGCGGTCCTCCAGCCAAAAAAGCAACCGAATGCAAACAAAAACGTGGCTACCAATTGATTTGGTTGCATGGGGGCTATCCAAGGTACACGGTCCCCAAAAAGGCATCGGGGCATGTTCACTTGGAGTTGGGAACTTGGGCCTTGAGAGGGGCAGTGCCATACTGGACAGGCCGCTTTCAGAGCACTGCCGCACAGCTCTAGTCCTCTCTTCGCGGATGCGGTGAGGCAGCCCGAGCCTGGCGAAGCAAACCCTGAAAAGTAGTTCAGCCTAAAACTCATCAGAAACACAAGGGCAGAACAGAACTCCGTGTCCAAAAGTTGTGACGAACCTCCACGGTTGGGCAGAACGTGTTCCGGGTCCTTGGACCCGTCAGGAAACAAAAATGCCATGCCGAGAGGCATCTCGGCCCGGCTGCATTCCCCAACCATGCAGGATGTGCCGCTGAACCTCGCTCCTGGGCAGGAGGTTCGGCTCCGGTATCCTGCGCGCGTTAGGGCCGATAGGTTGAGCGATCTTTGGGCACGTGTACTACCCGAGGTTGGGATGCTGAGCTATGCAGTGATGCCAGCGTCATCTACGTTTAGTCTATGCGAATGAACGGAAAGTGCAATTCGTCGATATTGCTGGCATCACCGCCATGACCCTGCCATCGGTACATTTCTCAGAGCCCGAAAACACAGCTTGCCACTCGAGGAGCATGCTATTTGCTGAGTGCCGATGGAAGCCTGCTGGAGTGATGCCTGCACTTAGCTCTGCCCAAACAAGTTTCAGTGATTGCTTCAAATTCGCATGGCGAAGGCTGCGTTGCGCAAGCCTTGGAATTTTCATGGAGGGTAGCCCTTCACAAGCAACATGCACGTAGTATGCTTGTGCATCTTTTATGCCCATGTGCAAGCATCTGTCAAAATGTGTGTGTGCATGTCTGGGTGCGCGCACCTGAGCCCAGAATTGTTGGTTCTAAAAAATACCAAAGACTTTCGCAGGGCAGTCGAAGCCTCCCCAGACCTCATGTTTTGCAAGTTCCCTGTGAGCCGAGCCCCGAGCCACGATCTCCAGGGGCTCTTTCCACCGTACCTGGCAGACCCAAGCTGCGCTGCCTGGGCGATTCTCCCTTTTCGAACTTAAAGGCATGGAGCCTCAGGCCCCGCTCGGGACAGGTCACGTATACGCCAAAACTTGTATACATGTGTATTGTGCATATGAATATATATGTGTATGTGTGTGTATATATATATATATATATATTTTGCTATCCCCTGAAACCTCACCTTTTCGTCCATTTTACCAGCGTTCATTGGCACTGCTCATTGCATGGTGTCCTTGTTGATAGGGAGTCCCCCAAACCGGCCCTACAGCAAGTCTAGGTGACATTCCACGTGTCACAGGGAGTCCCCTTAGAGGAGTGGTTTCCCTACCAACAAGGGCTACCGTCAAATGCAAACACACACACACAGAGACACAGACACAGACACACAGACACACAGACACACAGACACACAAACACACAGACACACAGACACACAGACACACAGACACACAAACACACACACACACACACACACACACACACACACACACACACACACACACACACACACACACACACACACACACACACACACACACACACAAACATGTCCTTGCGCTGCACAAGGCCACAATTGCCTTTCTGCCAAACAGCTGAGGCATATCACGCTGGCCCTAACCATGATCTGCATGCCGTCCATGCAAACCAAGCCCCCATGCAGCCAACGATGTGAAGAACTGGCTACAAGGGCCAGTTGATCGACAAATCGACGCAATCTATTCCAATGTTGAGTCCTGACACCGTGGATGAAAATCCAAGCACCGGTTGGGCTGGATGAGAACAAAAATTAAACTATGTGAATAAATACCGGGATAAACCACAAATCCCAACTGGGATTTGCTGGATTCGTCCATCAAGTCGGTACCTAATACAACAAAACGACAGTTGCTGACCATCGCACTTGGCAATCCAACCTACAGCCCGGGGGCACTCGGGTTGGAAGCTTTCGAGGGCCTGGACTGATCTTGCAAGGCGTTGCGGCTTCCATGTCAATTCTTCCCTAACATGGAGCCCCAAAAGGTCCGTTTCCCATTCAGGAAAGTCGACATGTTTGGGAGTTCGCTCCGGCCTTTGCTGAGGCACGGCGCTGGTGCCACGGATGTCTGCTGCCTCGCAGCCGGAGGGGAAGCAAATGGCTGATGTGGGTCTACCATGTCCTGACAGAAGCAAAACCTAGTGGACGATGGAAAAAGACAAGGCCTCTCAACGCAGAAATGGGTATCCCTTCCAACCACCAGCTAGTCATGTTGCAGTTGGGGTGCCGAAGCGCCTCAGGCGCGTCTCGATCCGCTCAGCCAAGACTGGAGACACCTGGCCGGGGCCGGGATGGGACCTGGGACTTGGAGATCCGTCCAATGAATCTATGGCATCGACATCCCCCCTACCTTCAGGAGGGGGGTGGGGGGTCCCCCATTCCATGTCCCTAGTCTTCCCCATGTAAGGGAAACTGTAACCACAAATGGAATTCCAGGGGTCACCCCCCCTCCCCAATTCCATTTTTAAGGGGGTGGGGATGCATCGACATGCGAATGGCATCCAAGCTCTTGCGAGGATGCTTAGGTACAAAAGCAATTCAAGAATGACTACCTTTGCACCACTGTCACGCTTACGGCCGCATGCTAGCAAAACAGCCAATAATAATATTTATATTACAATGATTGCTGTTCCGCGTCTTGTGTAACGTTGCGTTGCAATTGTATGTCAGTTTGTACTATTATTGGATTGTCTGGTCAATGTCTGGTTTGGATTAACTTCCATTACACAATGGAAAGCAGCCATAGGTTCGCCTTATGGCTTTGGGGGGATAAACCTTGCTCAACTCCTTGTAATCTGAAATTTGCACTCCTATTTGCTTCTATCTCAAGCGCTACCGCTCCGTGACTGGTGTTGTCTCCATGCAGCTTTGCATCAAACCTGTGGCCGGTTTGAACTGGTTTGCATCGATTTTGGCTTTCCTTTGGCCGGCTTCCCGCTTCCGCCCCACACCCACACACGCACAAACACGCAGGCACGCAGGCAGGCGGGCAGGCAGGCAGGATTTCACGCAACGCACTCACATATTTATGCAAGCAAGCAAGCAAGCAAACAAAACACACACACACAAAACCCAAACAAACAAGCGCACAAACACAAGAAACAACCAAAGCCAGCCCGCCTCGCAGGCAGGATGAAGCTGCAAGGGCCCCTGGCCCAAGGAGCCGTCGGGGCACCGCCTGAGGTTTCCGGGACCTTCAGGGACCTTTCTGGCGCAGCCTCCATCACAAAGATCCAACTGTTTCCACGTTTCGCAACAGTGGAAAAGCTGGAAAAGCGTGGCAAAA